GTGTCAACCTGCACTGCGGCCTCCACACCGCCCCCTGTTCTCTGTTCTCCACCAGTCACCTTCTCACCTCTCACTCACACTCACACTCGCACTCTATTCCTCTCTTTCTCTACATGTGTGTGTGTGTGTGTGTATGTATGTGTGTGTCGTGTTATGTCGGAGAGCAGGTCAAGACAGAGCCTAGGCTCCGGCATGTCCTAGGTCGTGGCCAAAACGGGGCAGGCCGAGAGATGGAGTGGTAGAAGAGTGGGGATTGGGGATTGGGGATTGGGGTCCGAGTCGGTGTTGCATAATTTGATGAATGACTGCGCATATTAATTCATAAATTAATTTACTGCTATAATTTATTACAAACTGTTGCCAGACAAACACACAGAGAGCGCAAATAGCATTGCATTCTGCGGTTCTTTTATAGCACGCCTAAATGTGGAAATATTTCATGCCAGAAACGGTATCTGTAACCTTTTGGTAGCTGTCTGAACGTATCTGGCTATTAAACAGAATATTTAAGTGTGTACCATACTAGTTGGTGTTTAGGGCCCAAGAAATATGCATCTCTATGCTTATTAATTTGCAGCAGATCCTGTGGTTTTGTTCTTTGTTGAATAATGATTCAATAATGAATCCAAAAGAATTGATTATTGCATAGCCGAGTGCATATTACAATCTTGTCTTCTTATGTGAAAGGAAAAGTAACTCTAAGTAGTTATTCTCATTATCCAAGCTTAAGTTTCTATGCTCTTTTAACTCCCTTGTATTGTCGAATCGTTGGCCCAGGATGTTGCCCAGTCTCAACCCAATCAGATCTTGAAATTATACATGGAGCACCACAAATCTTGTGAGCCCTAATTCATATTTGTTTAGAATATTCTAATAAAGCAATTTTCACATTCACGGAATATTACTCTGCAATTTCGCTAGAATGCTTTGATGCTGATATTATTATAGCCAGACTGGTTAAGGCTATTTAAGGTATGGGATAGTTTAAGTTTGCATTAAAAGTGGCATCCCATGGATGGAAACACGCATACACTTAAACTATCCTGTCTCAAAGCTTCACGTTACCCGTTGCCGCCACGCAGAAGAAAGGATTCGGACGGGGCCAACAGACTGTCACTGTCACATTATTTGCACAACGCCCACAAACTGCCATGGCCGCTGCGACCGAGTTTATGCGACAAGTGGGGCTCCTCGGCCATGGTCGCTCTCGTCCTCCATGCATGGAATGGGATGGGTTGGCATGGTGTGGTATGGGGCCAAGACATCATTAAGAATGCACAACATTTTGATTTCTACAATGGCCGTCGTTTGCCTATTGCGGTTCTGCTTTGGTCAGAAAGAGACTGGGATATACGTGTATGTAGCTAGATAGAAATAGCAAGAGACAGAGACAGAGAAGATGATAAGGCCTGGGCTAATGGCAATGGCTCCATCGAATTACGCATTTCGACTCGAAATGTGCGGCAAACGTGAGCGATGCCTTTTTGGCCATGTGGGTTCCAGCTCTGTCTCCTGGGCACCCGTCAACCGTCACCCTTCACTCCCTGTCGAAGCGGTATTCCCACCTACCCACCGTTCACCTCTCGCCCACACATCCGTGGACCCCGTATCTCTGGTACCGGGTACTACGAGTACGAGGTATGTCTTTCGTTTTCGTCGTGCGGCGTTTTGAAGTTTTGTGCGCATCTAAATAATTGATTAACTGAAAAATTCGTGCGAGTTTCGTATACACAAGGAGTTGGTACACATACCAATGCACGTACATATTTATATATATATATATATACATATATATAAAGACATGTACATATGTATATGTATAAAATCGATATGACTGGAATAATAAAGACGCCGACGGCGACGAAAAGAAGATGAACAAGAAGGTTCTTGCACCAAAACAAGCAGCAAAAAACTTTTGAGATTATTTATTTAAAAACCAGCCAACGATTCGAGTACGGGCTAGCCGGGCAAGGGAAATATATTTCGGGGGGGCTACTAAAAATCAATAAGACCAAAAACTGCTTAAATTCTTAAAAACGCGACAGGTTGTGTGTGTTTGGGCACACTTTAAGGCCAATTGGATTGGGGAACCTGTAGGACTCCTGTAGGACCATAGAATGCCGAAGAATAATTATACCATTGCTGCATTGCTCTATCCATCGATCATCGATCAATCCGTCTACCAATCTATAAACCCATACTATCGATGTTTGTCTCGTCTTTTCAGAGTCGTTTATTAGAAGATGCTTCCCTATTATGCAATTCGTGGTCAGCACGTCAGAACGTAAGTTACAACCACAACAAACTACCAATAACCAAACACCAAATACAACCACAAAACCAAAAAAAAAACTATTCGTATATAGAAACATTTGTACAAAATGAGAAACCAGACCCGATTGATTTTCCTTTCCCAATATCCTATTTTTGATGTCTCGTATTTGATTCACGTTCGTTCTCTCTCTCTCTCTCTCTCATTTGATATTTCGACGACTCTGTGTACAAAGATATATGTCTTTATATAGTATATAGATATATGTACTTTATCTCATATTGTTTAACCGAAAAATTCGAATTGAATTTGGGCGATTTATTCTGAATATTGTTTCGATGTGTTCTTGCCTGGTCTTAGATATACTTAGTCTCTGTAATAAGTAATAATCATAGACTTATAGTTACTAATAATGTAATCGCATTACACTAATCACTCGGCTCCTGCCGCTCCTTTTCTCTCTCTCTCTCTCTCTGTCTGTCTCTCTATCTCTACAGGGTGATATCTTCGCGGGCATCAACGATGGCATTCTCAGCAGAGCGGAGGCCCTGGCCGCCGTCGATATCCAGAAACATCAAGCCCAGCATGTACATAGCCAAATGCCCTCCCAAATCAAGCACGATGTGATGTACCATCACCACACAATGAGTGGGCCCCCGCAACGTCCATTACAGGTGAGTTCCCCCCCACATTCGCACTGTCATGATTATACTCTCACAACTGACAATTTGTAGACCAGAAAGAGTTCTTGTGTCCTTTGTAATTATTTCCATCCCTCTTGGAAATTCTCTCTAAATATGTTGCATGAGTCGAGTACTGCAGTAATTATTATACATCGATACATAGGCACATAATGTGTAGGCATAATTTGTACATAAGTAGAATGTATGTAGGTCATAAATAGCGTAGAGGTAGCGTAGCGTTAGCCCAAATCCAAAACTTAACAAAATCATTTCTAAAAATTCCAATTACACAAACAAGAATTGAATCTTTAGAACTAGAACCCACTGCATCACCCACCAGTTTTTGGTTTAATTATCTAAATTAGCAGACCTTAGCAGGGGGGGCTCTGCACCCACCCTTAGCTACCCTCAGCTTGCTGGCTCTGTTTTTTTTTTTTTAATTTTTGCTGCCATACTAAGTAAGTAACTAAAGAGCCAAATCCTGTCCGGAAGTTGGACCTTGCTACGGCTCCCCTGTGCGGCTTAGCTATGGTATGTGCTAGTGCGAGTGCGAGTAGTGTGTATCGGATATGGGATATTAGCCAATTTCTAGAAGGCTGGAAATTATGAAAGTCATTCCATGATGACGAACAACGTTTGGGGACTAGTTGTTGCAGGAGGAAAATTAATGCTGGAGGTGGAGGTGAAAGCGGATTGTCGCATTGGGACAGACGACAACTTCAATTTCCGTTTTCAGCGGTCACACGCATGTCGACCTATACATATTTATGCGTATGTAGTATGTGTGTGTGTGTGTGCGGTTAATTTGAAATGTTTCTTTAATAAAATTAAAATTGTGACGTGTAAGCCTTCTGGGAACGTGCCACGTGACGGTCGTTTGCCAGGTAAGCACATCATGATTCGTGTCGTTAATTGTATTGTACTTCAACTCGAGGCGGGCTACGTGGTCTGCTACTGGGCGTTCCGAAACTTCCCATACATACGAATGGATGGATAGATGGATGGATGGATGAATGTATGGTAGCGGTGGTGGTGGTGGTGGTGACTAGGTGCTTCAAGGGGCTGGGGAGAGACAGTGGCACAAGTGGAATTATGTCTGTGTCGCCGTGTGCTGCTGCTGTTACTGCCGCTGCTGGTGGTTGGTGGTGCTCTATTAGAAGTTGATTGTAATCAAATTACACAAGCAACCTGTTTCCCATTTGGACGAACTCCCCTTTGAGGTCTCTAGCCTCACGAGGTAGTCACTACTTCTTGCTCCTGTTGTTGCCACTTGTTTTCGGCACAATCGAGCATGACGAAAGGGCGCACTGTCCACGCGCCATTGCCGCCGGTGGTTGGCGGTGGATGTGCCACTAGCATATTCCCAACAGTGCCCCCACAGGCACATAACCCATAACCCATAACCATTCCCAATTGCCAGCGCGTGCAACGTGGCCGACTCGTGCTCGTGCAGTCCTTAATTTTCCGCAAAAACACTCTTCAGGCAGCGCATTCCAGACTCGACTTGCCAGTCGATGTCGATGGCGATGGAGAGGTCTCAGGTGCCGCCAGCAAATGCCACTCAATCACCCACGCCCAAAGCTGAACCCGAAACCGAAGCCATCTCCACAGCCACCCCATGGCATCCCCCGCTTCGATCTATGAAGCAGAATTATTAACAAATTAGTTTCTTTTCTGGGATCAAGTTTACCTGGAATACAGGCATTCAGATGCATTCTCTGCCCCGAATGGCAAGCTAGTACTCATCAAGGACCCAGGCTTAAACCTCGATGGGAACTAATCAAAGAGCCTGAAGCTAACTGGGCTCGAATCGGGACACCGAATCGGGTCGCGATGAGAGACCTAGCACATTGTGTTCACCGATGAAAAGGTTAGGCACTGGCCTCCGCCTCCATAGCACACGTTCGAATCTCACATCAAATATTGACACCGAAAAGGAGGGCCTGGGAATGACCTGGCAGAGCACACCTGCACCTTGACAACCACAAAAACCACAAGCTGGCCGAAAAAAGTTACAATTTAATTAAAAAATAAACAATGTCAACTCTGCGGCTGGAATATAAACTATGACGGCGCCACAGATGCGTCACCTCTGTCAGCATCGTCTTGATGGGAATCCCCTTCGTAAGCAAATAATTGATCGGCATCAAATTGGGAATAGAATTGATCAGTATCGTCTTTCGCTTCATTGGCTTGATTTTCTTCGTCACCATGGTCTTGATTTATTTCGACTAGCTCAGCAGCAACTGCTTGATCATCATCTGCTTGATTTTCATCTTCTTGATTGTCAACTACTTGATCGTCAGCTGCTTGATTGTCAACTGCTTGATCGGTATCTGCTTGATCGTCATCTACTTGGTTGTCATCTTCTTGATTGTCAACTACTTGATCGTCAGCTGCTTGATTGTCAACTGCTTCAATTGCAAGTGCTTCATCGTCATTTGCTTGATTTTCAACTGCTTCATCGTCATTTGCTTGATTATCAAGAACATCTTGCTCGTCCGAGCTCAATTGAATCTGCTTTATTTGTTGCGAAATGCAGCTCAGCTCCGCAAATATCTTTTCGGACTGCAAACCGATGGAAGCAAACTGACAGTCGCGCTCCTCGGAGAGTTGCTTCCACTTCTCGACCAATTCTTCAACCGATGTATCATCATAGTCCAAAGGGCCCTCTTGGCCGAAACGGTCGCCCACCACTTCTTCTACTTGTTTCTTCGTGCCCTGGTCAGGTGTCTTCTTGTCCAAGGACTTCGTGCGTTCATCCTGGTTGGAAATTCGTGACATATTCGTCTCGTGCCAAGAGTACTCTTAATTTAAACTACAATTTCTTGTGGAGTTTTGTTTTGATTAACTTTTTGGACGATGAATTGTATTCGTTTCGGCAGTAAACCTGCTGTGACTGAAATTAGGTTGAGATTCCGATTGAAAGCTTTAAGTTATGTCAGGGCCTAGGCCTACCATAATGAAACTAAATGGAAAAATTAGTCTACGTCAAGTGCTCCCTTAATTCAGATACCCAATACTATCTTTCAAGCTGTGGCTCTGTAGACTCTGCTTTGGATTAAATGAAAATATTTACTTTAAGGAGCAGAAAACGTTTTTTTCTTAGAGTACCCTATTCCTTCCTAAAACCCAAAAATCGAGACAGACTTCTGTGTCTGCCCAGCCTATGCAAAATGCAAAGAAACCCATAAGCAGCTGAAAGACTTGAATTTTATTAAATTAACTAAGCTGCAAGGTAAGAACTTGAATGAAACACTTTCATCAGAAACCTCTCTATTTTTTGGCACTATTGAATCTTTTTGGTGCGTCCAAGTCCGTACTTGAACTGCCACCGCTGAGCAACACCTTTTGCCTGTCACTGAGCTCCACACTGATCATGGATCCCAGGGCGAAGGCCCCTTCAAATGAGTCTTCGCTTGGCAAGGAGCCCACATGGTCCCTGCCCTTGAGGTGTCTGTTGGGCGGCAACATTTTGCCTTCTAGGCAAAAATGTATATAAATATCGAGGAGCAGATCTGCGGAGATTCTAGAGTTTATTCGATTGTTATTGGACTGCACTTGCTCACTTTGTGTGTACCGAAACATATTTTTTGTATGGGAAACCAAATCAATTGTGATAGAAAATCGCTTCAATGTTCGATTGACAGGTGAATCGGTGATTCGATTTTGTTGCCTGTTTATGTAATCCGATTAGTTATCTTTTGAGCAAGAAACCTGTTTAAGCCGCAGCTTCACTCAGCCAAATGTCAAGAAGTGGGGGGCAACACACCTTAACCCCTCGTCAGTCAGAACTTTCCAAGCGAACAACAATAAGTGCCAGGGGTAGAGGATGTGGGATGGGGGAACTGTCAGAAAGTCTGGTAACATGTGTCATAATCGTTATGCCAGAAGACAGAAGACCCCCAGCGAGGCCGTGCCGGTACAAACATTATAAAACTCATTAAATTAAACTAATTTACGGAGCAACAGAACCCCCAATCCTTTTGCCTTGCCTTTGCTTATCCTTTTGCTGTTGCTGTTGCTGTTTCTGTTGATGTTGCTTTTGCGGGCATATGAAAAGCCAATTATGTGGAGAGGCAATCGAAATAAAAACAGACACTGGCAGACGCAGACGCAGACGCAGACGCTGCCACAGTGGCACAGTGGCAGGATGCAAAAGGGTAAATAAGAGTAAATATAATGCTAATTAAAATAATCATATCCATCATAAAACTCCAACGCCCAAGCGACAGGGGGTTGAGCGTCGGTTTGTTGTCAGCTTGTAAGTACATTTGTAACAATTAGAGGCAACAGCCAAAATATCCATTATCAATTTCATCCCAACTGTGCTAAATGAGCAAAGCCAGCCAGTGAGGAGGGCAGTCGAGATACAATGAGGATGAGAATGAGAATGAGAATGAGGACGATGATGAGCGGGGATAAGCTGGATAGTTCATTGGTTTGAGGGTGGCTGCTGCTGCTGGCCATTTGCCAGGCATTTATCACACAGATTTTTGAGGCTCGGCTTGGGCTAACTTATGCTTCGATCTATGCTGTCCCCCCCCAACCACCCAGCAATACCACTGGCCGCAGAACCATCCCTCTCGGTAACCCCAAAAAATAATATTGTACACACAGTACACTTAATTCAATTTAAATTACACTTACATATTTCCGGGCGAGACCAAGGACCAGCTACATGCATATCCTGCCCTCGTCCGGCCAGTCCACCAGTTCCTTCCATTAGTATTTGCAACATATGGCTCAATTTCCCTCAAATCATTTTTCCATGCACGCACCGCACCGCACCGCAGCGCACCGCAGCGCCCTTCCTCGCCCGGTACTCTGTACCGATCCGAATCGCCTAAAGGGATACGAAACATACATACATCCAGTGTGTCTGTATGCATATCCCAATCCCAATGGCAGTGGCAGTGGCAGTGGCTGTTCCCCTTTTGGAGGTACTCGCGCCCTGCTTGGAGGGCAACCACAAGTGGTTTATCATATTGAAATTCATTTAGTGCACCTGTTTGATTTTTCCTGTCGTTGTGCGGTCGGCATATTGTTTTGTAAATATCGTTAACTTAGCATTGCCACTCCACACGCGACTCAAATTCACTTCCTGTTCTGGGCCCGCTCTGCCCCAGCGGCGACAGGCGGCAACAGCAAATATTTGTCTTTTGTGCACATTAGAAACAACTTACCGATAACTAGGGTGGTTTCGGGGCGGAGCTGAGTGGGTGTCGAACTTGGGGTTGCCCAACAGCAAGCGGAGACCAAAAATCTTATGCCAGTATGCGGCATGTTTCAAGGCATTCAAAAGTGTGGAGCGAACCGCCAAATACTTGCTAACTGGATAAATCATCAAACAAATTAAGGTTCTAGCTTCGGCAAGGCCCTGAAACAGGAAAGATACTTCTTATACATTTGTTTAGAAATTCAATAAGGAATCAAAGTACTTGCACATCAGCTGGAAGGTCCCAACAACTATTACATTTCCAATTCCCATTACATTATGTTACTTTATGTATGGATTAAAAGGCAATAAAGCTCGAAACTGAACCTGATTAAACTGTGGAATTTTTTGTTGTAATCCATTCACATAATTCTAAGATAATATAACTAATAATTGCACAAAGTTATGGCCTGTCATAATGGCCTTTTTGCATTGCATTTGTATTTCTGAACCAATTGTCCATAGCCCTTGGCCCGTTCCTTCTGCTCCATCATCCACTCAATTGCCTGTTTATCGCTTACTGACTGTCTCCTTTTCTGTGCCCCAACTGATTGACATAATTAAATGTGTGCCCATATTTAATGTTGGCCTAACAATAACAGAAGAAGTGCATAAAAAGCGGCCACCGCACACAAAAAAGGCTCATCAAATATTGAAGAAATTATGATTATTAATGCATTAACTTTATTTAGTGACATAGCTGGCTATCATCAACGTAATCGCAGTTGTTTGTGTGTTTTTTTTTCATTTTTTTTTTGTTTCTCTGCTGCTGTTGCTTAGGTGAAAGTTCAACAATTCTCGTGTCCAACTCTGTCCTCCTCTGCCCTTTCCTCTCTCTCTCTCTCTCTCTCTCTATGAGAATCTCCCTTGTCTCTGCGTATAGTGTGTGCTTTTTATTTTATTTATTTTTTTGTACGCTAGCTCTTTGTGCAGAAAGCTTTGTGTCATCCAGTGACAATTTACTGTTCCCATTCCGGCTCGGCTCGGCTTGGCTTGGCTCCACTTTCATTTCCTTTTTCTTGCCGCCCGTTTCGTGTTGTGCTTCGCTCCGCACAGTTCCGCTCCGCTCCGTTCCGTTGTTTATTTCGTTTATTTCGTTCATTTATTTATTTAGTTTCCTTTTCTTCATCAATTATTTAGGCGGCTCTGTGTTTCTTTTTTTACGAGTATGTGCGAGACAATCGAAGACGCAGACAGCGAGCGAGACGACACCATGCGAGGGGCCCGTCCCATGGCGTCAAGACATAGTTGGTCATCACTCATACGACAGGTGGAACCTGGAAACTTGGAACGTAAAACATGAAGCGTGGTGTGGTGTGGCGTGGCGTGGCGTGGCCTAATAGTGCTCCACAATTACAGCCAAAGAATGGAGCGATCCAACAGCAAATTGCACTTTCGCCAAGCCAATCATCCTTTGTCGCTGCAGTTCCGTTCATTCATTTTTAATATTGCACTTTGTGTAAACTGCTTTTGGACCGTAATCGACTTACGGCGGCTCCTACAGCGCCTCAGCCCAATGGCCCACCTGCCAATTGATTGGCGAAATCGCAGATTACAATCGACAAGGAGCTTAGCAAAGTATTGAGCAAGTTCACTGGCCAGCAAGCTCTGGCCCTGGCGCACATCTGTCCACAACATACGCACCTGACAAATCAGCTCAGTTGGACTGAGCTCTAACTAGCTGGAACCTCCTTCCCCGCCCAGGCAGCAGCCCCATGAAGAAGGGTTGACAGTTAACAGGTTAACCTGCTTAAAATGCACATCAACGCATCACTTGACCCACAATCCACCCCAGGAACAGAGGACGCTCCACGGCATATGTAGATGTGACGCAACACAGCCTTACAATTATCAGTTACAACTGTGACGAGGGGTTACGGGTGTTTCAACGAATGGCTTTTCAGCGAATATGTTATCTTTTTGTGTGCCCTCACAGAGGGTAGCATGATTCCAGCAAAGAGGCTGACACGCGTAGGAAAAAGAAGGGAAATAAATGCGGTTCGCAGTCTTTATTGTGCTCAAACTTTAGAGAACTATTTCTGCACTCAGCACATGCACAAGTAGCAGATGTTAATTGACAATTTAGGAATCAAGAACCTCTAAAATAGGTTCATTGCAAGGGTATCTATGGCTTCGTTTACCCAATGGATGGTCTCCATTGGGTCTCTTGTTTTTCAATAAGATTGTTATTTACTTACACCGAAGTGAGCATCAAATTGATCGTATTAATGGCCATAACTAGTTTATCCCGCCCCTTCTATCAGCACGGTCTGCGGATTATGCACGCAGATTTCCATTACAGAACAATGGCAAAATGTTACAAGGGGTGAGGCCGTAGCATCCATCAGGCGCACGGAACATTAATGCAATTTCAATGAACCTTGAGCTACGGTCAAAACAACGTAAAGCAAATCCGGGGGAAACACTCTTTTTCGATTTGCGGCTCCTGTCTGTCTGCCTGTCTGCCTGTCTGTTGGTCCTTTTGGTCCTGGCACAGTCCAACCCCACCTGAATCCAATAGCGCTGTGCTGTTTGATCCGCTTGTTTTTATGCCCATTCCCATGCCCATGCCCATGCCCATGCCCGGCATACAATTTGTTTTAGCTACGAATCGAGGAGGGTTCCATACTGAATCTGCTTCGGCTTCTGCTGCTGG